CGTCTAGCACATGCAAGGCTCTGGGTTTGATCCTCAGCACCACATATAAATAAATAGATAAATAAATAAAATAAAGGTATTGTGTCCAACTACTTCTAAAAAATAAAAAATATACATTGATTAACAGTTAATAGAATAATTTGCACTGTAGTGGATGCACTACAGGCCTGTACCATTCTGCATCTGTAACTGTATATATACTTACATAATGGCTCAACAAAATGCAATAAAGAAGATAGTCCAAAAGACTAACAATGGCTTCTCTTGATGATAAGATTTCCAATGATACTTTTAAAATTCAAACTGTGTTTTTTTAGTTTTTCCCAAGTTTTCTACTGGAATATACTATTCTTATAATTAAGGGAGGACATTAAGAAAGTCAACTATTTGCATGAAATCATATTTTAACATAAATAATAAATTCTTAGCTAGGTAAATATTTTAACCTTCATTGGTACAATTCCCATTTATGTGTGTTTTCTTTTTAATACAAAAACCTTTTTACATGAACCTGTATTTTCATTTTCCACTATTTGTAGTGAGAATTTAAATGTAAATTACTTGAGGAATTTTTGTCTTAATATTTGACCTTAGTTTTTGAAAAGCAAAAAGTAAATCGTATCCAACAGACTTTAAAAATCAAAGACATTTCATAAAAATTTGCTTTTTATAAATGATTTTTCTCTGGAGACTTCTAAGTCTTAAAATAATAAGCAGAACTGGTGATGTAATTCAGTTTGCAGAGTGCTTGCCTAACATGCAGGAAAGCCCTGGATTCAAACTCTAGAACCACAAAAATAATAATAATAAGCAAAATTACTTCTCTATGAAATATACAAATAAAATAATAACTCGGTTAAACTATATTTATCAGAATGAGTTTAGGTAATTCAATATTTGCATAATAAAAAACACTGAGAAAAACAGGAATCTCTTCACTTAATTCATGGAAAATACACAGAGCAGGGCTATTAACAAATGGTGGTAAAAGAACCTATAAATATAAATGTCTGGGGCTGGGTTTGTGACTCAGTGGCAGAGCACTTGCCTGGCATGTGTCTGAGTTCGATCCTCAGCACCACATATAAATAAAAAAATAAATAAATAAATGTACATCAACAACTAAAAAATATTTTTAAAAAATATATACATATATATGTATATATACACATATATCATATAGTTACACAGTCAATCAGAAAGGATAAATTTCTTTGACTCTTGAAAGCATTCTACAAATTATTTATCTAATTCCATCCGGAATTTTAGACTCAGAAGAGGAGAAAATATAATGTCCGATGGTATAATGCCAACAAGAAACAATATTTCAAAAAATATTTTCACTTTATGTAACCACAAAAACTAGAAGGAAACAGACACATACAAAAAAAGTTTTGCTATAATGTGGAACTAATTTTCGCCCCATGATGATGTTTTTATTAAAATATTAACAGCAAATAAGCATCTTATTTGACATAGTACCAAAAGTAAAAATGTGAAGAGAAAATGATATAGGACAAAACAACTTTTTTTAAAATACTAACATTGCCTGACACATTTGATGATAGACAACAATTAACTGATAGCATTAGATTTCCCAATTTAATATTTCTAACAATTCTGAAATCTAAAGATTACAGACTAATATAATTAATGACCAAATAAAACAAGTGTCTCTTTCCAGTGGGAATGCTTTAAAAAAAAATACTATTAAAATAGCCACCAGTGTCACAGATACCTCCTATAATGTTGCAACTTAACTCCTTAACATCAAGAGCAAAGATATGAACTTTTTAAGTTTGTTCTATTCTTCCTTTCCTATTTAAAAGGTTGAGGTAGAATATTCTCCCTCAAAATCCACAAACAAATCAAAAGGCTGGCAATAATCTCAGCATTAAAAAACTTTGTATTTTTAAATTTTTTTTATTAGCTGCTCAAGACAATACAATGATCTTTACATATCATACATTTGATTCAAATAGGGTATGAATTCTCATTTTTCCACGTGTTTACAGATTTCAGGATCACACTGGTTATACATCCATGTGTATACATACAGCAATCCTAGTGTCAGTTGTATTCAGCTGCCCTCCCTATTCCCCCGTCTCCTCCCCTCCCCTCCCCTCACCTCTCTCTACCCATTCTACTGTGACACTTAACTCTCTTTTTTTTCCCTTCCCCCTCACACCATCATATATGTATTTTGTGTAACAATGAGGGTCTCCTTCCATCTTCGGTGCAATTCCCCTTCTCCCTCCCATTCCCTCCCACCTCTCTTACTTGTTTAGTGGTAATCTTCTTCTCATGCTCTTCCTTCCTACTCTGTTTTGAGTCACCTCCCTTATATCAGAGAAGACATTCGGCATTTGTTTTTTAGGGATTGGCTAACTTCACTTAGCATAATCTGCTCTAGTGCCATCCATTTCCCTGCAAATGCCATGATTTTGTTTTTTTAGTGCTGAGTAATATTCCATTGTGTATAAATGCCACATTTTTTTTATCCATTCATCTATTGAAGAGCATTTGGGTTGGTTCCACAATCTAGCTATTTTGAATTGTGCTGCTATGAACATTGATGTAGCTGTGTCCCTGTAGTATGCTCTTTTTAGGTCTTTTGGATATAGTCTGAGAAGGGGAATAGCTGGGTCAAATGGTGGTTCCATTCCCAGCTTTCCAAGGAATCTCCATACTGCCCTCCAAATTGGCTGCACCAATTTGCAATCCCACCAGCAATGTACAAGTGTACCTTTTTCTTCTAAAATATCTTTTCAAATCTTGTTTTACTATGAATGTGCATGCTCTTTAATCTTATTAGAATTAATCACTGAACTCAACTGTACTGCAGAGTCAATTGTACTGCACCTTTCTACGTACCCTACATAGTTGTAAGTAATAGTTTTAATATTTTGAATTTTCTGCAATCTCTATCACCTGAAAAGTTTCAAATAACTTGGAACTTCTTTGTAACTTGGTTTAAAAAAAAAAAAACAAGAAGGAGGTAGGTTCTGTGAGAGTGGAAGGGTTGGGTACTATTTATCTGTTGTCAGTTAAGCATAAACCAAACTAAAGAAGTCCCTAAAAGTTGAACTCCAGAGTCCTATAAAAAAAAAAAAAAAAATCATGGAATCTAAGTCTTCGTGCTGACTTCAGTCTACATGAGTTCAATCTATACAGATAAACCTCACATCAGTTTGATTTCCCTGCAAACTATAAATACCTCCAAACCGACTGGCCCCTCACCAGTAAAAAGATGAGTATCCTAAGGGGTTTATCACATATTAAACTTTCTGACATACTCCAGGTCATCTCCCTGTCCTGTAGTTAGGAAAGAAAAAAAAAAAAAAAAGTCCAGAATAGAGACAAACTAGCAGAACAAACCATGAACACACCAATTCAGTTTGCAAGATTAAAAAAGGATATATCTGTAAATAAAAAGAACTAGGATATACACCAAAAAGATAACAGTGATTGTTTCCAAAGACAGATGTGAGACAGAAATGGAAACGTATAAAGAGGGTTTTTGCTTATTATAAATACACTATATTGTTTTAATTTTTCATAAGTGTCACTTCTGTAATTTTAAAAATCAAATTTTGAAATGTTATTTCATTTGTTAAAAAGATTGAAAAGATCTACATACATGGAGTTCAAATGAAAAGTGTCATTCTGTACTACTGTGGCTACTACCTAGCCTACAAAATAAAAAAGATCATTATTACTAAAGATGCACACAGCAACTGTTAAACCACCTCTATTAACTACTTTGACTATATAATATTAGGTCACAGAGAGAGTTGAGTAGGCCCTCCCTAAAATTATATCCACTCTGACAACCCTGTTTTTCAGTCTTAACTTCATTAAAAAGGTGAGACTGACAAAACTAAAAAATCATTAACACAATGCTTAGAATGATTCATAGCCAACATAACACTGCTTCTCAGTTTTATTTCTCATAAGAAATAAATACGCATGTGTGTATATGTGAGCACACACACACTCTCACACATAAATTTATATTTCACTGCAATTCATGACTGATTTCCTTAAGGCAAAGAAAAGTTTCCCAACCTGAAAAGCACCCTAATTTAGACAATTAAATTTATTAACATTTTATTATCATTACAATGGAGTGTTCAAATTTTGAAGTCAATAAAAGCAAAACTTTATACAATTCTAACTCCTGAAAAAAGGGGTAACACAAACTATACTCTGAAGAAAGCAGCATAACCCAACTGTTGTGCCAAAGGTAAACATGGTTATTAATTACCTTAACAAGGCAAATCAACGTTTTTTTTGTCTGTTTTTTTATTTTAACACTAAGAAAAACCATATGGAAAATGGCCAAAATCACCATCAGTTAGGCAACAAAAACCACCTAAATTATTTCAAGGTGGAGTTTTGTTTAACCTGGTTTATTAGTCCATAATATAGTCCCAAAATTTTAAAACTCTAGACATACACATGATACATCTATATCCCACCCTTCCTATCATTATTAGTTTTCTGGTATCCTCCTAGTTACTCTATTAACAGGAGAACAAATGCAAGTTTAGGCTGTTATTACAACTCGACCAACACATAAAAGAGCACATTGTTCTACAACTTGGTTTTTGGGTTTTGTTGTTGTTGTTTTTTGTTTTGCTCTATGACAAATTTTTGAGATCTTTCCACGTCAGTGCACAGAAAGTTTCCTCATTCTTTTTCCATAGTTGATTGTGACTAGTTCTACCACATTTTCAGTCTGCCTTCTTCAGGCTAACCTTTAATGACATTCTGTTCGGTCAAATACTTAACACAGGAATTAGTTTCCTTCCTAGAAGGAGATTTTAAAACAAACCAGATTTGAGGTGTCGTTTTGAGGGATGTTTCAGAAAAAGCCATTCATTCTATAAATCACATCTTTTTTAAAAGAATGTTGATTTCCAAACAGGTAGGAGGGGAGAAATAATTCCACAAGTCTGTCCGCTGATCACTTAAAGCAATCTTAAAAGTGAAATTACCTTTACTTTGATTTGGGGGATCAGCGTACTAATCAAATCAAAATGACTGTAAAAGTTTCTTCTTGTGCTTTTCTTTCACTGCAAGAGAAAGAAAACATTCTTTTAAGAAGGCTAGAAAGCCTACTAAGCATGACATTCTAACAGCGAAAAACCACAGCCCGACTTATCTGTCATCTGCCAGGTCAGAGGCCACGCTTTCATCTTTCAGGATTCTACCGTCTATTCTCAACAGAACGACTTCTACACCAAAGAAAAACACCCTCCCGAAAATACACTGCGGCTCTACGGGTCAGAGATTACACACCAGCGGCCGGAGCGCCGGGACCATCTCCAGGGAAGCCAGCTTCGCAGACGGAAAGGGATCCAGAAACTCCGGTCGCCGCGGCGAATCGGAGCTCGAGGCGCCCGTCAGGGCAGAAGGGAAGCCCGGCGCCGCGCCCTCCAGCCGCGCGCAGCTCAAGTCCGACGCCCCGCGCCTCGCGCTCCCCAGGGACCGAGCCCCGGAACCACGACCACTAACGGAACCAGCCCACGGGCGGCGGCAGCGGCCGCTCGGACTGCGGACGGCGACGCGCGGCAGGGGCGCCAAGAGGGCGGGGGTTCCCCGGAGGAGCTGGCCGCCCCAGCGCCCCATTGGGCGCCGCTCCAAACGTGCCCGAGTGGTGACAGGAATAAAAGTGGGTCACAAGGCCTAGCGGGTCCCGGGCGAAAGCCCTCTCGGCACCAGGCTAGCTTTCCCGGTCGCACGGCCGCTAGAACCGGCTGGAACCCGGTCACCCTCCGGTCACCGGGGCCCGCCGCGCACCCCAATCCCGCCCCTGCCTCGCAGGTAACCCCAGCTGCCCCCGAAGCCCCGAGGCCCCCGAGGGCCTCCGCCCCAACTCCCGGCAAGAGGCACGCTAAGCAAGACGCAAAACTTGGGCTTCAGCTCCCGCCTTCCCCTCCTTGGCCGCCGCCCCCCGGCCCCACACACCGCCCCCCGCTCCCTCCCCTTGCCCGCGCCCTCACCGTGTGGCTTGCGGCGGCTCCGGCTGCTTCCCTCCCCCACCCAAGACTCAGGCTACGGCTACTCGGAACCGCCAACCGGCTGCGTCCAGGAGACACCGTGGCTTCCAGCGCCAGCAGCACCTGGGGCTGCGAGTGGCGCCCCCACCCACCCCCAAAAATTCACCGCTACTGCCGCCCGCTCCTCCTCCCCCTCCCTCCCTTCCCCTCCTCCACCGGCACCGGCAGCACGCATGCGCCACCGGGACAAGCCAACCGGTGGACGTCAGGCTCGGGCCCACCCGGTGGGGCGCCACTCACCGGGTGCGCGCACGCGGCGGCGGCCAGATTTACCTCGCGCTCTCGCTGCCCGGGGTTTCCTTTTTTAAAGCGGTAGCCGCGAGAGAAGTCCGTGATTGCGCTCCCTCCCGGCGCATGCGTTGTCAGTGACCCCCGGGTTCCGCGGTCAGCCGAGGCTCTGCGTTCGCCCCTCCCCTCGCGCTCGCTTTCCCCGGCGCGTCTCGGTGCGCATGCGACTTGCCCCGTTAGACAGCGCGGAGCTGCGCCAGGGAATCCCGGGCGCCCGAGACTCCCGCTCCCTCGGGCCGTGAGTGTACGCGCTCTGCGGTCGCCGAAGGAAACCGGGATCTCCCGGCGCCCCCTTCCCTGAGCCTCCCGGGAGGGCACCGGTTATGGAAAGCCTGGGAGGCGGGACCAGGGAGCTTTAGCGGTAGGTCTGGGCTTCTTTGGCTTTCACCATGGATGCTGGGCAAGGAGGTGAAGAAATAGCTTCCTGACGGGTAAGAGATCCAGAGGCCAGAAAGGGGATGCTCTCTTCCTTGAAAAGCAGAGCTTTGCTGAGTCCAGGCTAGGCTTTTCCAGTGTTGGATGGACACGCCTCAGCACTCTGGTTTCCTCTCCTGGAGGTTGCGAAGATTCCTGGACCACCAGTGACCCTGGAGGCGCGCGTCTTCGAGTGCTTCTTACTGGCTGGTGGTTGGGCTGGGGAGACACGACCTGCACCTTCAGCCGCAGCAGTGGGGCAAGAGGTCTGGATGTATTTGCTCATTTGCAGTTTCCCCGCTGGCCTTTTAGTGAAAACCAAGTGACAGTGTAATGGAAGACGTGGGTGCAGGGATGGGGAGGTGGACACGCAAAGAGGATGGACCAGGATCATAATTTGCTCTGTTTTTTTGTTTTTTGTTTTTTTTTTTTTTTTTTGGTTAGAACAGCGTGTGAATATTTAAAGCTTACCTGGGGAAAGAGGTGAAATTACTTCCCCTGATGCTTGAAATACAATTGGTCCAAGTGAAAAAAGAACATCAGAGTTGAAGAACTTAATCCAGATCCCTGATCTTTCACCTGAGCATTTTTCTTTGGGAAGTGGAAAAGCATGATTTATTAATTACTCCATTTAGTAGAAGGAATTTTAATAGACGTTTCTGTTTGTTCCGCATTCACTCCCATTCTGATAATTTCATTTGGAGAAATATCCTCCCTCTACCCAGTCCATATGGTCTGGAAAGGACATCAGGGGGAAAGTATATTTGAGTTGATCTTGGATGTTACCTCTTTTCCAGTGGATCTGAATCTGGAAGAATGGAGGACTGGAGCCAGCTTTTCATGCATGATTAATGAGAAAGTACCCTGGGGCGGGGGCGGGGGTGGTGCAGATTCAAAGATGGATATTTGGCCTAAAGTCATGTTTGATGTCACGGAAACCATTGTAAACTAGGTTGCTCTGGAAATTTCAATTAAAATAATAAATTCTTGGATGTGTTTTATTGCTAGAACCATGACAAGTTTTCTGTCACCCGCAATTAAGAGTCCTAATACTGTTAGGTAGCAAGAGAATAATACTGATGAAATAGGTTGCAGCCAGACAAGAGAATTTAAATGTTTCTAGGGTCTGATGTTTGGATTTTATCCTGAAGACAGTGATCACTTTTCATATTTCACATCCTCTAGTATACATATTTCAAAAATACCTTTGCCCTTTTGAGTGGCTTCATTGTCCTCTTAGTCACCAGAATCAAACTATGTTCATCTGACTCCTCCCCTTTTCATATTCTGTGTTTAATTATTTACAAGACCTGTTGATAATCTCATTTTTCTGCTCAGTCCTCTGCCAATGCTCATATATTTCCCATAGTTCAGTTCAAAACTCCTTTCTCCCCATATTCTTTCCCAGAAAAAAGTTATTCCTAATGGTTTTTCCAACTTCCCCACTCCTGTTTCCATTAAACAAAAATACTGTCTCATGGTTTCATAGATCCTAAATTAATGTCCTCCAGCCTAAACACAATTTTTTGCATAATTCAGATATTCTGTCACTCCATGTATGCCTTGCTATCACTTAAACTAATCATTTCCAACTCTTTTCAACTTCCCTGTTATTCTTTAATTTCTTCATCTGTAAAATGAGGATAATAAGTCCATCTCATGAGATAATTGGAAGAAGATTGGGGGGGGGGGCGTGTATAATGATACCTGGCACATAAGAAATCCATTAAAGTGTTCACCATTTTTTTTAATCAATGATTTTTTTCTATAATTCCCTTATCTCCTTTGCTCAGATTCTTCCTCTATCTCCTATGTTCCATCAGTCACAAATTGTGTCTATTCTTTTATAGTACCTCTCTCATCCGTCCTGTCAATGACATTCCTAGTGCTACCAGCACCATTTAGAGTGAATTGGAAAATAAGAAGCTTAAGATATGCATAATAGAAAACAAAAGTAATTTCTTTTTAATGTATGGTTTAGTCAATTACTCATATTCTTTCTAGTCCCATTAAAATATAGGGAAGTAGAAGATATTGTGGACTTCATAGTCAAAGTTTAGGCTTAAATCCTGACTAAAACTTCCTAAGCTGAGGGACACTGAGCAAGTAATTCCTCTGAGTGTCAGGGTTCTTATCTGTAAGTTGTGAGAATAAACATTTCAGAGAATTATCTCTTGGGTGTTGAAGATGGTGGTTGTAGATCTTTACAATTTATTGTTGGAACCCTAGGAAGTTTAAAATGACTCACAACTTTTTAACTCCAGCCTACACTTCTCCTTTGGGTTCCATACACATATGTCCAATGACCTACTTGATGTCTCTTCTTAGGCATTTCAGATATCATAGATACCCCCTTCAATTTGTTCTCTACCAAGCAACAAGAATTTGCTTTTGGAGCTGAGATTGTGGCTCAGCAGTAGAGCGCTTGCCTGGCATGTTCAAGGCCCTGGGTTCCATCCTCAGAACCTCATAAAAATAAAGAAAGATACTGTGTCCAACTAAAACTAAAAAATATTTTGTATATTTATTTTTTAGTTTTAGTTGGACACAATATCTTTATTTATTTTTATGTGGTGCTGAGAATCGAACCCAGTGCCTCACACATGCACTTAAGCCACATCCCCAGCCCCCCAAAATAAATATTTTTTTAAAAATAATGTTACTTTGAATATATAAGTGGAATGACATTATGTTTCTTTTTAATATCCTTTTATCATTCATTTCCCATTTCATCCAGACTGTAATCGTGACCATTATACCATTTGGATCTGGTCCCTGCCTAGTTCTCCAATCTCATATCCTATAATTTTCTCCCTTTTCTGTAACACCCACCCAGAAACTTCTTTTTAATTCCTTACTAATCTCTCTGCTCCCAGGCTTTAGTACCTGTCATTCCATTGCCTGACCTACCACCCCACCTTATCTCATGGCTGGCTCCTCACCATTTATATCTCAAAGATACAACTACTGTTAAAGTAGATCTCCCACCTCCCTATTCAGTACCCACAGAAAATCTCTTTTATTGTGTCCACTATTTACCCCATAATACTTTTTTTAAATTACATGTATTTAATACTTGTTTTCTTATATATTAACTATCATTCCTATTACCACTTGATAAGTAGGAAAAGAACTATTTGTTTTGTTAACTACTATATATGCAGCATCCATTCCAATGCCTGAGGTAATAAATAATTGAATGAATGAAATGATATGTAAACATACTTTTTAGAATCATCTTTGTATTCCAAATTATGATTGTGGGCAGACTGTTGTCAAGAGGTAGCCTTGGGCTGGGACTATGGCTCAGTGGCAGAGCGCTTGCTAGCACATATGAGGGTATGAGGCACTGGGTTCCATCCTTAGCACCACATAAACATAACAAAGGCATGCTGTCCATCTACAACTATAAAATTTTTTTATTTTTTAAAAAAAAGGTAGCCTTAGTAATGCATATGAAAGGAGAGGTAAAAAAAATTTTTTAAATAAAAAGGAGAGGTAAACTGAAATCAGCGAAATTTGATGTAACAATAATACTGCACTGACAACTGAATATTTGAGCACCCACAAGAATATGTAATACTATAAAATAACTTACACCTGTATAAGATGCTGAGTAAAGTCCAAAGTAAAACTAAACCTATCATAGCCAAAACTTCCAACTCCACGCTCTCAACCATATAAGCACAATGCTTG